TGTATCTAACAGACATGGGTAGTATGTGAGGTCTGGATGAAATCTTCTCACAAATCACCATTTTCTGATTCATGATAGAGGAAAAGCTGATTTGGATGCTCTTAAGTAAAAGATTGAAAGTGAAGGAAGAGATCTAGGGCTTGTCTACGTTATGGAACATTTCCAAGAGCCCACGTGAAAGAGAGATTAAATTGGGTTCCCTTTGGAGGAAATACGGTTCTTTAAGACTCTAAATGTAATTGGATATTTCAATGGAGGTCTAATCTTAAATATAATTTAGGGAACATTAGCCTGCATCCCTTGAGCCCACATCTCTAAACATGAAGCAAATAATTTTCTGTTAATGAAGGCAAAGGCTTCAAGCAAAGGTCATTTGAAATCTTCATACAGAAGACAGGAGTTCCTTTTCTGTCTCCAATAGCTTTAGTTTTGTGATATTATTGTTCCCAGGCTTGCTTGACAGCCATCTGCATGGGACATTTATGGGCCTTGCAGTAGGAAATATAGGAAGGAATGGAAATCTCATTACTGAATAAATAAGTTTTTTCTCAATACTTGGAAAATGTCAAGGTGTTTTCTCTTCTTCATAATATGCTGATGTGCTCTTAATTGAGGCAGTGGATAAGAGAATGACAAATTCACAGAGGATTGTTATTAACCACACTGATTGTTCATGTATGTTGCCTTCTGTTTTCCTGATCTGAAATAATGGAAAAACTTTATGAGTAATTGGATGAAAGAAGGAGCATGTAGTTTGATAGCTAGCTCTGAGGCAAATATTTGCCAGACACAAAACTGGGAATGGCAGCCCCTAGCCTGATTATCATGATGGTTACCATAGGATTGGATAATTTAACCAATGAAATTGAGGTCTTTAAGATGCAAAGTACATAGCTCAAAATGTATAAAATATTCCCATCTCTTTGCATCATGGAAAAAGGTATCCTGCAAATCTTTGCAGCAAAAGTGGTGACTTTAAAGAACATGAGGGTGTGTGTGTATAGATGTGTGTGTGCATGAGAGAGAGAGAGACAGAGAGAGAGAGAGAGAGAGGGAGACAGGAGAGATTTAGGGAGCAAGACTGCATGTATATCAGTGAAGGCATTTTTCAAGTCCTCAATTAGTAATAATTTCTGTTACACATTAATTTTCCCTTAACCAGCCCTGGGCACCTAGAAGAATTTTAGTATCTTACTCCCCTGCGTTTCAGTGAAATGCTTGTAAATTCATTTTGCCTTATTATGGATAATATGCACACCAGGAGGGAATTTATTTTTTAACTGTGGTTGGTCTTCCATTCAAAATTGCAATGCCTTTCTAATTTTATGGGCCATGAAATACAGTTTCCACAGCCATCTTCTGCCCCTCTCAGCCTCACTACACTACTGGTCCATATTCTCTTGTGGGCATCAAAGAGTTTTAAGCCAAGAATTTACATTCTCTTAGATGTTTCAGAAAAATATATTCTAAGTCTTTATTCATAAGTCTTTCCTCTCTGTTCTTCATCTATACAACTACCATTTGTAGAGTATTTACAATGTGTCAGGCACCATGCTAAAAATTTACAAAATTATGTTTTTAAATTGTTACAGCTCAAGACAGCAGTTATTGTTAGCCCTAACTTACAGAGGAGTAGGAAACTAAGAGTGGAAGAGTTTAAATAAGAGCTCATAAATGTCAGATATGGATTCTAATTCAGGTCTGTATCCTTTTTTTAAATTTTATTTTTATTTATTTATTTTTTTTATTTCAGCATATTATGGGGGGGTACAAATTTTAAGGTATCAAAAAATGCCCTTTCCCCTCCTCCCCCCACAAGTCTGAATTTCCAGCGTGACCATGTATCCTTTTTAACTCTATACCAAGTTGGCTCTGCTTATAATAAACTTCTTTCATTTAGAGTTTGAAATTCTAATTTCTCATCATGTATTTTTTTCTAATTTTCATAATTCATGGTTACTAGAACTTGTAATATCATAATTTCCTAAAAGAATCACCAAAGTAAACTTCTGTATAAACTCATCTTTAGCTGTATAAGAATAATTGGTACCAAAATTTTTCCTTGTAGCTGAAAATCCTTATAACCACCCATTAATTCTCATTATAATTAACTTAAAAATGCAGTGTTACTATTAATGGATGTAATTACATACTGTAGATAACTGTAAACTCTATCATTATACTAATGAAATGTAAAACATTCCCGAAGCAACTTGGTAGCAGCTGAAACATCAGGTTATAACATTTTACCAGTTATTGGAGACTGGCATAATGCTTGTAATATATTTGAGAACCAGTTTGGGATAAAATTCAGGAGATTGTTTTTTTAAATAATTAAATACAGTATGGAAACAGGGGGATAAGAGAATACACCATGCAGAGATTTACCTCAAAATAATACACACACACACACACACACACACACACACACACACACACACACAAAATAATAAAGAATCATTATGAGGCAATCTAAGTGCAACCTAAGTAGTCAAGTGTTTCAGGGTGAGCTGCCAATATACCCTTCCTTAAATAAGCTAACATCAGAGTTTATTTTCATTTTTGTTTTTAAATGGTTTTAAACCCCAACTACCTTCAACATCTGCCTCCTGGTGGGGTACGTGAATGATCCTTTTTAGGAACAGCTCTGGGGGTCTTACCTCTCTTACCTCCTCTCCCTTTTACTCCTCTGGTAGGGTCCCTCTTCAGACCTGGCACAGATCATACATTCACTCTGAGGTATCTGGGCAAACATCACCACCTTCTATGACTACTTAATTTAAACTCTCCTCCCTCATCACTCTCACTCCATTTAACCTGATTGTTAATTTTTTGAAGTCATTTTATTTTATTCTGTTTTGCTTTAGTTTTTGCTTATTCATTATCTGTCACCTGCACTTGAATGAAAGCCCCCATAATGGCACTGATCATGTTGGTATTTGCTCACCTGAGCATGCTCAGCCTTTAGCACAATGGCTAGAACATACTAGATGTCAGCAAATACTTTTATTTTCATTGAGAATGAATGAATCAATAGGCCATTAGTCTTTCCCCCTTATTACAAATGAGAAAATGATGCCATGACAATGAAAGATCAATTCCTCTACATCTTCGTTCACCCTGTCCACCTTGTTAAGGATTTGATAGTAGAGTTGGTTATCCATCTCCATCCCCAGTCATCAACATCTATGTATTCATTGGTCTGTCCCTAACATTGGATATAATCCAATCCTATTGGATTGGATATAATCCAATCCAATCCTAACATTGGATATAATCCAGAGTCTCTAATATATAAATAAAATATTAAAAATTTAAGTATGATTCTTGATTCCAAATATTCCTATAATCAGTTCTGTGAAAGAATTTGCTCCTGTATGTAAAGTAAAAGATGTGCATAACTACTGTCTCTATTTCCTAAATTCCCATTCTTTCTTGATTTGCTTTAATCCACTTGGTTCAATCCAGTCTACTGTCCTGACAGTGTGTTTTCCAGGGACAAAATCAATAGTTATTTTCAATAGTTCAAATAGTTCAAATTCAATAGTTATTTTCAGCCTGTACCTCATTAGACTACTCTGCTCTTTTGGCCAAGTAGACCACTCTTGAAACCTTTCTTCTCTGGGCCTCTAGTTCAGCACCTTCCCTTGGGTTTCATTCTACAATTCTGAACTTATTCCTAGTCTTTTTGCCACCTCCTCTACTCTAACTCTTCCTCGATACAGTAATCAGGCCTTCTTTTCTTCCCTTAATCAATATGTGAATAATTCACTTATTAAATAACTGTTATGTCTTGACAATGCCTAGAATTTTATCTGCAGGAGAAAATTCCTTGTTGCCTGGTCCTGTCTCCTCACTCACCTCTTTAATATTAGCACTCACGGTCATCCACCCTCAAGATGTGACTTTCCAGTTGAGTAACAATGCAAATAAATATTAATCAAAGATTCTTTTACGAGATCCTATATGATTTTTCAACTACCTGTCTCTCCAAATTCATTTCATGTTCAATTACTCTTTTCCCACACAAGATTCTGCCTTCTCTTTATTTCTCTCCTGACATAGTTAGCTTTTTCTTGATCTTTAAATGTTAGCTTATTGGCTGGGAGTGGTGGCACGTAACTATAGTCCCAGCTACTCAGGCACTACCTGAGGCAAAAGTGTCACTTGAGCCCAGGAGTTTGAGGTTGCAGTGAGCTATGATGACCCCACTGCACTCTAGCCCTGGCAACAGAGTGAGAACCTATCTCTAGATAAATAAGTAAATAAATGAATGGCGTATTTTTTTTTTTTTAATTTGAGGATCTCTTGGCTAACCCAATGAAATTAAATTCCCATATTATTTTCTTTTATAGAACCTAAAAATGTGTTTTCATACTACTTCAGAGCTCTCTATTTCTTCTAGTGTATCTGTATGATTTAGAAAAATATTTATCTTCCAGAATATGGATTGCAAAATATTATTCTCTTTGTGTGAACAAATGATACTTTTTCCTCCAAGCTGCCATAGCCATACACAATGACACATGGCTTGGCAATGTAGTCAGGTTAGATTTCTTTCTCCATTTATTTCCTTCCCCCCTCACCCCCCGCCACCTTGCCTGAGCACCTTGTGCAGGACACACTGGTGAAGGCTTGTACCAGTAACTCATTGCACAACATATAAATTTTTTATTTTGGTGTGTGCATTTAGGCTGTTTCCCACAACCCCCACTCTGATAGATCCAGAAAAGCAGGGACCATGTCATTTACATATCTAATTGTGTACCCATAATTCAATATAATCTCTAGCAGAAGGGGGCACCCAATAAACATTGGCTAAATAAATAACTCTATAACATGTGTTTGGGAAAAGCTTGTTTATTTATTTATTTACTACACAGTACACAAGTATACAAAGGTGTTCAGTGTCAGGTAAGAAGATGAGTTCACATATGTATCTGCTAAATTCCCATGTATGAATGAGAATTTAATAGTTTGTTATCTCCTAGTATCATTGTTTGAGGTACATGCGATTTTTGCTTGTCAGGTGTGTTCAGAAATCACCACTTCTTCCCAGTAGTTCAGAACAAGCACAGGCTCACAATATCTGGCAACCGTGAGGTCACATTTGGTTACTACCTATGTCATAAGTATAAGAGATATTGAAACATTCCAAAATTATTTCTTGGATTGAATTTTATAGCTACAAAGAGAAATTCTTCCAAATGTATGCCCAGGTAAAAAGGGTAGGCTGGGTCATATTGGAAATCTTGTGTCTAAGCATAGTTATCCTGTGAATGCAAAGAAAGCCCCAGCAAAAAGTGACAATTTTTCTGAAATTGTTCACAGGTAATAGAAAAAAAGGCTGATTTTTCTAAAGATGAGAGAAAATAGCAGGCTAAGGATTTCATAAAAATCAGGAGATGTTTCAATTCCATTTGAAAGTAGAACTTTGCAAAGATCACTGCCACAATGAAGATAAGTTGAGAGTGTTGCCGAGCCCTGTTAATGCAAACAAGTGAGATCATGTTTTTGGTACCTACTAGAAATATCAACTGGTGGCCATTCATCACTCATGGGCTGTGAATATCCATCTTTGTAATCAGGTAAAAATGTGATTTTGATCTAGTTACTTCATATTTTGGAGTCTCAGTCTTTTAATCTGTTGTGTAATGACAAAAATAGCACTTATTTTATTGACATTTATGCAAACCTATGAAAATAGTATCCCATGATGCTTAATTGATTAACCATTTAACAATATTTTACTTTGTTTTCTCCTGATTACTTCTATCTTTCTCCCTGTCTTATCCCCTGATGATTGGTGAGATTCTACAAAAATCAAAGGGAACAATCACTTTTCTTTGCCACTGCTCCTGTCTCCTACACTACAGATAAAACTTTAGCTTTCCTTCCAATTTCCAGGAATTATTTATTCTCATTTTGCAGTCATGCCAAAGAATATTAGTGGGTTACTTTCTATTGTTAGCTTTGGAATTCTGCATACCTTTCTTGATTGTCCTTACCTATGTCCATATACTTGGAATTATATACTCATTAAGCCACCCTTAGTTCTCTTATTTGAGTATTCCATGTCTTTTCTGTCAGGATACCGAGCCACAACCCCGTTTCTGACCTTCATATCCAATGGGAGCGGATTGAACTCTCCTTACCTAATAATGCAGTACAGAGGAGCGATTCTGCAGAAATTAAAAATTTAACATTCCAATTGCATAGATATGAACATTATATAACTCAGAGGCCATATTTTCATATCCAATGGGTCACCCAAGAAGAAGCCAATAATTTTTTTCAAAGAACTAGGTCATCCAATTTCAGAGTAGGAAGCAGAATAAAGTGCATGGGTCAACCCATAGCATCAGAGAAGGTTGAACCATGAGGGAGTCAGCCAACAAGCTAGGCCAAAAAGGAAATAATCACAAAAAGTGAAACAGGAACAATTTCAGAGTGAGATCACAGAAAGATATCATTGCTCTTTATTAGGTTCACACTCTTTGAGTATGGCCATGATGTGATCATTTGTGGTTACAAGGGAGCTGGGTGGTTAGAAGAGACAATCCGAAATGCCTTAACTTTGTATTTCTTACTGCATCCTCCTCTAATTGATCAGGAGGATTTTATAAGGTTTGATTTTAGCGATGAGTTGGTGGGGTGTAGCATGGAGAATTGGTTTAAATATCTTATTTACACATCTCCATCCAGCTATGGAGTACTTAACTTAGGAAACGACCTTGAAGACATCTTCATCATTGTACCACAAGCACATTTCTGAGAGTATTTATAATTCATCACTGAGGAATTTAGTGCTGAGTGTGCCATCCTTGGAGATATTAGCATTAGATAAAAGAGAAGAGAGTGATCATGTGTCAGTATGGTTACAAAGCCATCATTGGTTAAAATTTTCACTGTGATTACAAAATCATCATAATAAGTCTAGAAGAATGAGTTTCTACATTCTTCAATGCCAGAATATTTTCATGGACAAATTTAGAAATAATATGAGCCTAAATTATATGAATGATACACTATAAAATCCTAGTATTCCATCAATTCAACATGGGCCTTTCAGGAACATCCCAAGGCGTGAGAAATATAATGACATGAAGATGCCTGTTCCCACTGCAAACACTGATAAAACTTATAAATAATTCTTTTAGGTTTTCAGGGAAGTCACACAGTGGCCATAACAACTCAGTACAAGATGTCTGTGTTCCTGTAAATGGTCTTCCTGATAAGATAGACAAAATGTTATAGAACAAAATCTCTTTGTTCTTTTTCCCTGGGGAAAAATTATTTTGATGTCATTTTTATCCTATGTAGCAAACTTCAAAATCATTTCAACTCTCTTCTCTGTCACAGAAAAAGTGGTCATATTAAAATGCGCAGTTTTTTTTTTTTTTGAGGGAAACACATAATTTGGAAGGGATTTTTGAAAAATATCGGGCTGTTCAGAAAGGTTTTTAAGCCAAACAGAAAAAGTTTCCTTCGACTGTAATTTATTTGATACCTCAATTTATCAAATAAAGAATGTGGCAGGGGGTAAGTTCAAGTGATGATGGAAGATAGTGATGATGGAAGATCGATGGCACTGTTAGCTGAATTTTCTTTTCATTCGTGATCATTAGCAGCACCTGTTTTTAATGTCTGTGAAGTACAATTTGAAAGCAAGTGATGTAGCAGATAGTTCCCTTTGTTTTATGGAGAATGACATTGAAATCAAGAGAGACAATCGCATGTTAAAGGCATACAATCTAAGGACTGTGTCATATAAATCTTTGTATTCCTCAAAGTAGTCATTTCCATGCTCAATAAACATGACAAATTAATGTTTCATTTGAATTGGGTTAGTATTCTATTAGTCCCCCTACAGCACCCTGCTTCCCAAACTAACCATTGTTCTTTAAAGGCAATATAGATGTTGAACTAGGCTAAATCTTTTCTATCTCCAACATTTTTTTAAACCTCAGAGGACTACTTCCTTTATTTATAAAATAACTCACTCTATACACTTTGTCATTTTTTCCTAGAATGCTGCCTAACACCTGGAAATTCATATCTGATCTCTGTGCCCACATGCCCACTACTCTGATTGGAACCTGAAAGATAAATATAATAATGTCTATAATTAAATACCAATGGGAAGAAGGGCATTTCTGAAAGTTTTCAGCAAAGGTCATTGAGAGGGAGAATCCTATCTTGACCAATGCAAAGCGAGAAGAGGTTAGATGAATAAGTTGGGGTGGATTTTGTTGGCATGGAGGTCATTGTTTAATATAAGAAGGCCACTCTTCTCCATTATGGACCTTAAAACCAGCTTGGAAGTAATTTCTTTTGGGAAGGAGTTATGTTTTGTCAAAACCTGTCATGTAATAAGTTCTTCAAATATATACTTAACCAAAAATTAAAAGCAACAGTGACGAATGATTAGCAAGCCATTTCAAATTCTTGGCAGAAGAATGGCTAGTTATATGTGGTGTTTTTAGACAGTTTACTTGATAATACAGATTTCCAGAGATTGAAGAGGGAGAAGATTAGTAACATAGAGACTATCCAGTAGACTATAGCAATAACTTATGTGAACAATAATTGTCACTTCTCCCAAATGGTGAATCAAGCCTAACAAACAAGATCAACTTCTTGCACATTGCTTTTTCCAGCCACCTTTCTTGACCTTTTCTGTTTTCTAATGCCAAATGACAGTTTCCCCACACTTCATCCCTCCCTGTACATACTGTCAAATATAGTAGGTCACAACATCTCATTATCTCCATGTGTTAAATCTTTCTCCAGTTAACTCTGTGCAAACAAAATCTGGGACTTTTTCTACAGTTTTATTTCCAATTGCACTTATCACCAACCTATGTGCAGTGTAGATGCTCAATAAATAGATGTTTATATTCTTAATATGACCCCATTGAAAAGAAGGAAAGCAAATTAGATTTGACTATATCCCTCCACTTCTTAAAAATTCTCAGTTTGTCTATTGATTCCAATAGTGGTGTCTACTGAGTCAAATAGTGATGCTCAAATTTTATTTTACATAAATGTATATATCTAGAAAGATGTAATTGGCTTTTCAGTGTAAAAAATCATAATTAATTTATTTGAGAAATCTTGGGATAAACAACAACAAAAAGGTTTTTATTTCAATAAGATTTCTAAGAGGTTTTATTTTGCAGATGTAGATCATGACCTCTAAAAGGGATTTGAATAGCCTAGAGATTTCACCAAATGTAAAATATATTAGAAAATCTAAACCTTTCACTCAAAATACTTTTCAGAATAATATAGATTCCTGTCATTTAGAATAACACAATTCCATAGGCTGGTGTTCCCATCTTAGTCTATGTTCCTTAGAACATATGAATTTTCGTAGTCAGAACATCATCTATTCTCATTGCAATGCTTCCTCCTCTTCATGAAACACCAAGTCCAAAGAATGTGTTATATACCATTTTTCCTAAGCACACTTCATCTTATTTATTTTAGTATTATTTATGCATCCATTTAGTTATTAGGCCTCAAGTGCAAAGAGTTGAGCCATTCTTTTTTCTCACGTGCAAAAATAAATATTCTTGATAAGTATTCTTGTAAAATGTATATTTCTGTGGATGTGTTTTTTAAATTAATACAGTTGTTATTGGGGCATAAGTTTCATTCTTTATTTTACATTCTTTCACTTGACAATGTTTTCAAAATGGATGCATGTTGGCCTGTGTGCATTTATTTTATTACTTCTAAATGCCCCGTCGTAGACCTTAGTGTTTATTAGGTGGATATAATATCCGTTTTCCCAGTGTAGACTCATTCAGTGCCTCTAGAACCACACTTAAAAAAAAAGGCACAGTGTAATGAGTAACATTGGCTATATTCACTTTTAAGTCTGTGCAAGGGTTTCTCTGGGATTTACTCCACAATGCGACATCACTGGATTTAAAGAGAGATGCAGTGTATGAATCTTCTCATTTTTAAAATTTTCACCAACACTTGGATCATGGATTTAAAATGATAGACTTTCTTTTGTCTTCATCTTAAAGGAATGTGCCTTATAATTCCTATTAATTATTTTGTTTGCTATGCAATTTAGGTAGATTGCCCTTTATCAATTTAAAGATGTTCTCATCTATGCTTATTGCTTAGTTTTCTTATCTTAGCTAGTTCATGAACTCTACCAGATGTTTTTTCAATACATCTATTGAAATGTTCATATGATATTTTTGTTTTTCATTGTCAGTTAACTATTATGTAAGATTATCTTTATATTACTAGTATGAATCATATCAAAACAAAAAGTATTACTTAATACTACACTATTAGATTCAATTGATGTTTTTATAAAAACAAAAAATGGATCTGCAATTTTCTGTTCTTACTTTATCCCTGCCAAGTTTTAGCATTTTCTAGCCATTTTGGGTCTTCATGTCCTCCTATTTTTCACTTGTGATATCATCTTTGTCTATATGCCCCATATCTGACCATAATGATCAATTGTTTTCTTAACTTTCTCTATATGGCACAGCTCAATAGATATGTTCCTATCCCTGAACTCATTAAGCATTAATTATTTTGATTCAGTGTTCCTATAGCAATTTGAAAGTACTAAAACATGTGTGTGTGTTTGTGTGTGTGTGTATAAACACAATGCATTGATTTGTAAAACAAAGACCTGTGTCAAGCTACTGTAGAAGAATGTAAGCTCTCAAGGAGAGTGATTGAGTTTTTCTGTCTTTGTCCAAGCCCAGTACACCTTGCACAAGGCTCATAGCAAAATGAGGGCAAAATAAATTTAGATTCATTCTTTTCAATTAGCTTTTTATATAAGAATTTCTTATACTTATTTTGCATAAGACTTTTCCCTCCAGCCTGATATTGCTTCAATCCCATGCACCCAGCATTTCTTAAGTGCCAACCCCCTAAACTTCCAGAAAGCCGGATGAACTTTATCAGTAAGTGTCAATAAACAAACAAACAAAAGATTTGTTTGAGGGTGTTTTGTAATGATATTTTTTTTATCATACCTGAACCACAAAGACCAAATATTTCTTCTTTTGAGAATTAATATTCAGTCCAAAGAGAAAATATATACCTCAGGAGTGCTTCCTAGACAACATATTATGTTTACATATAAAGCTATGTGTGCTTTTTCCTACTTTTAGGTAAGTATAGATAAATGTTTCAGTATATATGTCCTCATTTCCATTAAGAAACATTTCCAGTAAGTAAATCCATCATACCCCAGCCAAGAATGAACTAAATCACTGAAGTGGAGCCTCTACTTTTTTTTTTTTTTCAATTTATAGAAAGCTAAAAAATATAAAGTTCGAAGTCCGGCCAGACCTTTTTTTCTTGAGATTTATCAGGTCTCTTGTGAACTTTATTGACTCAAGTATCTATATATAGAAGAATCAACATGTAGTAATGTTTTCTGGGTGCTCCCTGTAATGCTTAATTTTGCATGTCAACTTGACTAGGCCATGGAGTGTCCAAATTAAACCTTATCTCTGGGTAGGTCTGTGAGGGTGTTTCCAGAGGAGGTTATCATTTGAAGCAGTAGACTCAGTAAAGTAGATTGCCCTCTCCAATGTAGGTGAGTATCATCTAATCCATTGAGGGCCTATATAGGAGGGAGAAATTTGTCCCCCTTTTCTTCTAAACTGAACTATCTCAACTCATCTTCTCCTGTGCTCACACTGGGATTACACTATTGTCTCCCCTGATCCTCAGGCCTTTGGACTCAGACTGAACTACAACATGGGCTTTCCTGGGGCTCTAGCTGGCAGACAACAGATCATAGGATTGCTCATCCTTCATAATCTCATGAGGCAATTCCTCATAATAAATCTCTCTATATAGCCATCTCTCCTATTGTTTCTGTGTCTCTGAAGAATCCTGACTACCATAGTTCCTTATATACACCATGTAGGAATTCCTAAAGGACTCTGATTTCCACCATCATTTTCTGCATCGTTTGATTACAAAAGTTAGGATGTCAGCCTTTGATAAACAAATCTATTTCCTGACTTCTCAATTTTGTAAATGGCCCCACCAATCACAGAGTTGTTCAAGCCAAAAACTCCAGGAGTTAATATTAAATTCCATCTTTCCTTCATTTTGCATATCCAATGCAACTGTCATTACCACCAATTTTATATCCAAAATATATCTTGGTTCTATCTATTTCTTCTATCTCTATTAACACTCCACCAAGTCAAGATAATCTCTTCCTTGGGCTATGGCAACAACCTCATATCTGGGTTTCTCACTTTCATTCTTGTCCCCTACAATCTTATTTTCATACATGGACTAGAGTGATTATTTCAAAACTATAAGGCAGATCATATCATCCCTCAGCTTTTGGATCCTTGCAATTTCCTCCTCTTTCACATAAAGTGGATATAAGTTCCTTATCTTGATTGGCAAGAACCTGGATAAAATGGTTTCTGCCTAGCTCTCTGCATCCACTGTGTCTTTTCCCCCCTTATCCATGATGAGTTGGACTCATTTTCATTTCTTGTATATGCCATTGGTTTAGTACAGGAGAACATTAACACAAATATTCCCAAACACTTTGTTATGGTTTGCTCTTATTAAGACAAGTTCACATGGCAACTTAAATATCACCCTGTCCACTCTAAGAATTTAGTTTCCCATCCATTTCATACTGATTTGTTTTTTTCTTATTTCTACTCATCTACATTTCTTCTACACTACCATGTCTTTGAAAAAATAGAATTCTTCTGTCCTATTCAATGTTATATTCCCAACACTTAAATTCATGGAAATACTTGGTACATATTTGCTCAGTAAATAAGGATACTGGAAGTTTAGTCATGTGGAGAACTTGTTAGGATAAGAAACATTGGTGGCAAAGTCCATTGAGACATCCTTTCAGCATGATCTTTCCTATTCCAGTGCCTGGATCTTAGCCTGGCATTATCTTCTGATGCTTCTGACACAGTGTGCTCCCCCAAGACTCATTCTAACACAGCCCCTAGTAAGATACTATGCCTTGGCAGGCTTAGATAGATATTCTTTCTCTGCACTTTCAAAACACTGTCTGCTTAGCTCTTCTACAGCATAACCAAATCCAATGTTTTATCATTTATTTCCTTTTATAATTTATCCAATGTAATAATTTACTCCATGTCTTTGAGTGGCAAGAGACATGTGTTGGTCATATCTCTTTTTTTTTTCCTGTTATTAGTATAGTATCTAGAACATATTTTGTAGAAAAAAAGTTTTGTTTGAAAGGTCTTTTTTTTTCAGTTTATTGGAAATATTGTTATTTATAGCTCGAACACTGAGCCAAGAACATCCATTCACATACTCAACAATCAGACTTGACAAATATGAAATAGCTACGAACCTTTAGAAGTTGAGTTAAACAAAACCTAAAAAAAAAAATTGTAGACAAAATCATAATCAAGGTAAAGTATACATTGGGGAAAGGAAGTGATCCCAATGATTCCTAAATTGTCATGTTTAATCTTAGACCATAGTTGTTAAAAATCTTTCTCATATTTGTGAAGAGTCATAGAATGGCCTTGGAGATATTTTCATATACAGAGGAAATCTCAATAAATTAAAATTTGCTTTTAGTGACCTCTCATTTGGTTTTCTGGTCCTGGCCTCTGAGTTCATTGAAGCCATTGCTTTCTGCAGTCTTTCTCTTCAGACAGCATCTGGTGATATTCCTCCTAGCAACCCTCTTCTGTGATCTGTGAATAATAATAGAGATATGTATTATCTATTAGTAGAGATAATTGCAAGAGATATCTATTATCTATTAGTAGAGATAATTAGGAGAGATAAATGCAATACTTGCATTCAAGGTGTGAATTAGATGGAGTCAGGTAACTCAAGTTGGGCGAAAATTACCCAAAGGCACCATTTTCTCCAGCAAATGCCTACTGACCTTGAGACCTAGATGAAACTTCCATAAACAAAGGAAGGGGGAGAATTACATGCACAACCACAATGTTACAACCCAGGAAATGATCCAGAAAACCAGAGTTCCATTCCTGCTTATCTCACTTATTAGATGTGTAATTTAACCCTGAAAATTTCTTATGAAGTCTCTGAATCTCATTTTTCTCATCCAGAAACATTCCACAATTTAGGCAAACCTAGAATTCTCCCCTGAGCACCCAATTTCTGGATGTCTCTCAATGTCCCAAATGTTCCATTCATCCTGAAATATAGTGCTTTTTACAATTTTCCTTTTTAGATACTTGAAAATTTGTGATTTTTGTTGTACCCATTCTTCAGTCTCATCTTTTTTGAAAACTTCTCTGTGATGCCTTCTTTTTTTTTTTTTTTCTTTTTTGAGATAGAGTCTCACTCTGTTGCCCAGGCTAGAGTGAGTGCCGTGGCATCAGCCTAGCTCATAGCAAGCTCAAACTCCTGGGCTCAAACAATCCTTCTGCCTCAGCCTCCCGAGTAGCTGGGACTACAGGCATGCCATGCCCAGCTAATTTTTTCTATGTATGTTTTTAGTTGGCTGATTAATTTCTTTCTATTTTTAGTAGAGACAGGGTCTCGCTCTTGCTCAGGCTGGTTTCGAACTCCTGACCTTGAGTGATCCCCAATCTCCCCCACCCCACCTTGGCCTCCCAGAGTGCTAAGATTATAGGTGTGAGCCACTGCATCTAGCCTGTGATGCTTTCTTGAATCTCCCCATTTGGAGTCACTTACTTTCTCTTCATAGTTATATATGACTTAGAACCTCTTTGTTATCATTACAAGCTTCTCATTATAACCACAGAGAGAATTCTTTAGTTGAAAGCTAAGAGGCTTTGACGTCACACCAATGTAAGAATAAACCCACATTCGAATGCTATCTAACGATAGGCAAAGAATGTTTTGACAATGAGTTTAGATGAGATTGATTGACACCATTGAGAAAGTAAAGGAAATAAGTTTGGGGATGCTGCCATATTTACTTTTTTTTTTCATGTCAAATGTTGCCTAATTCCTGCGCTGACAGATGCTCAATAAACATAGTAGACAAAATACTTGTCCCTCAGATAATCCAACAAGTCAGAGCACTTTTTAATTTTATGTCCCTCGTAAGACTAGAACTGTGCCCAAAAGACTAGGATAGAGTATCTTAAATATTAAGAGTATCCATGTAATGCATAAAAGTGTATTGACTAAGAAGGAAATGATAAAAATAAATGTCTATTTTAATAGTAGACATAGAAGATATTATCTTTTACCATTATCATAAAAAGCAATAACTACAAAACCAAATAATATATTCAAAACTATTAGGCTAAATGAGTAACAGAGTAAAAAAAAACTTTGTATAGCAAATAAAATAGTATTGAAATTGAAGGAAAATAAATATGGGAAAAAAAGTATTCCTTGGAAAATGCTAAATATATTCCACAATGATTTTCTCCTTATTGGAATTTCTTAACACAGAGAAATGATAAGTGATTGAGGTGATAAATACCCTAATTGTCCTGATTTGATTAACTCACATTGTATACCTATATCAAAACATCATATGTGCCTTATAAATATATACAACTATATGTATCCATAAGAATTAAAAAATTTAAAAAATACAATGATATAAAAAAATCTAAATTCAGCTTCACAAGGGACATATTTGATTTTAATCCCAGATATTATGAGCCATTATTCTGTTCACAATTAGAAACCTGCATTTAAAACCCTTACCCTCATTCCAATTTCTTTCAAACTCAGGATTAGATTCAGGAAAACAGAGAGACACAATTCCAGGTTTTTTCATAGTATGTGAGATTGTGAGATGAAAAATTACAAATATAAATTATCCCCAGTACCTTAATTGTATGCATGTGTGTATGTGCATATATATAAGAATATATATATTCTTTTCAATGTTGATATTCATGTTAAAATTGTGCATTTATAGAGCTTTTATAGTGATGCCCACTGTTACCTTGTCTTTTTGACTGACAATGATAGGATTTCAGTCATGCTCAGCCTTTCCGACAGTGCCAGTGATGGGATTTTTTGAAATCTTATTACTGGTTGCACTGCCCTGATCTCAGATGGAACTTTCAATCAAAAAGGCAATCAGAAGGTTATACATTCGTGAGATTCCCTGCAAAGCCAGCGATCGCATAATACAACTTGTTGGAAGGGTCTACTTGCCTCTAGTCTTTATGTGGCTATAAAGAGTAATTGGCTACTTAGCTCTCAGCACTCGCTTTTCCTTCTCCAAAATACGGCATAGCCCAGAACTGTGTTGAGTCTCAGTGTGGAATCCGGCTGCTCCTAGGAGATTTCTAAGTCTCATGCAGAGACTTGTCTTACTTTAAGCATCTGATTAAGCAAACTCTCCCAAAGACACATTTGTCTTTTTCTAAGCTTCCTGGCTTTACTGGTGATGCTAGTGAATCCCAGTTTTCTTTTTCTTTATACATACACATATGCTTACCCACACATTTTTTTCCAAAACATTTTCACTGTGAAGCTTATATCCTACAAATCATAATTCTGTGTGGCAAGGTGAACACACGAATTTAATTTATAGCAAATTTTAATCATCCTATTGTAAACTTTTAAAAACGTATTATAAATGTACTCATAAAATTATTGGAAGGAATGCACTCCTATGTTATGCATATATTATGCACATACAAATGTTCAAGAGACATTTTTGTAATATGAGTTGATCAAATAATAGACAGAGTAGGGGCTGTATTGATCCCATATGGTGTTCAATCACCCAGGGAGGCATCAGTTCCCCAGATAGGAATCTTGAATTGTGAGGCAGGCCAGGGGAAAAATTTTGTCACTTCACTTCAACTTAACTGTTCTCAGTTAGGCAGAGATACCTTGTCTCCGCCATGTCAATATTGATGGGACAGAAAACAGTGCCCAGAGGTAAAAACAGTCACTTTAATAAAATGTTACCTATCAGGTTGAGTATGAAGTAATTAACTCCTAAAAAAGACTGGGAACACCCTTGACCTCTTTTGGTTAAGGAAATCCTGGCAAGTCTGTTGCTAAAGTAAAATCTTAAGCCAAACTCTGTGTGTGTGTGTGTGTGTGTGTGTGTGTGTGTGTGTCTGTGTGTGTGTGAGTTCCTCAGATTTTTAGTTAAATTTGGGAATCTCTAAAAGTATAGTTCAGTGCAATTAACAAACAAAGTGTTATTCACTTGATTCCACATTTTAAAACCTGAAATGAGCTTTTAAGCACAAAATGCTAGCATGACGGTGGCAAAGAAAATTAGAGAGAGATCCATGCTTTCATTATCTTTTCCTTGGGTAAAGGGAATTTTGAGGCAGGATTTTGGAAACTAGTCCATCAGACATTATCTCCTGCCCACAAAAACCACCATATGAAGATTATCTTATTGATTGCCAATAACGGAGAATATAGATTTTATATTCCTGAAAATAATGGTATAATCTTTTTGTTAGACATATTTGTGTGCCTGTAATCTATGGGCACTTCACTGCAAAGCACACTAGAGATGAGTCTGATGTGCCAGACATAAGTGTAAAACAAATTCTCACCTTGGTTTAGAATGTGTATGATAGTAGGAATATTACTATTGATTATTACTACAACTATTATTAATAATTTATATGCATCATGTATTTGTCTTAGACATTGTGCCAAGTCCTGGTATATTTAAAAAATCACTTTGGACCATCCCTTTGACCTCAAGAAAAAGTGTTTAATAGTCATAATGATAAGCATAAAAGATGAACTATTCCCAGGCAACAGAAGCTCAATAAAAAGTTGATTAAGCCACTGGATAACTATAAATTCTTAGACTATTCAAACATTTTGTTTCTGTCACAGTGGAAGTAACCTCTGCAAGTTGGTGCCTCAGTCTTTGAGCCAAAACCATGCTCTTTTTAGTAGCCCTAAGCCAATGACTGAGATGGCAGAGAACCATAGCCTGACTATTTTGCCCAATGGCATAATGCTCAAATGGACACTTTTCCACTCCAGAATCCACTGTTGGGCAGGAGAAGATTTTGCCAGGGTCTGCATTGCAGTCTATGATTCTCTTACCAAATCCTGATTCCTGATCCCTTTATTTTTATGAGTTTTAGGTCTGCAAACTTGTCTGTAGTCTTTCCCTGCTCAATGTGTCTGCTTCTAGAAGGACCCAAATGACACAACTGGACTAGCCTTGAGGTGCTCCATGTTCCTTTTACATCCCTGCTGGTATCCTGGTATGTGATATTTGGCAAGTCATTTCTGTTCTCTGGCTCTTTATAATAAAGACTCTTACAAACAAAAGTGACCCTTGGGATGATTTGCTTGAACATTTTGGAATTTTAATTAGTGTTGACTATTCTGTTAATAGATCTTCAACTGACTGAAAAAAAATTGATGACAACAGAGGTATTTATAAAAATATATTTCACAAAGTAGGAAACAATACAGGAGTTTCTCTGAATACAATACATGGAATAAATAAACAATATTGCATTAAAGCAAAGTAGAAAATTAAAATGATCTGCATGTAATACTTGAGTTTTATCATACATTTTCTACTCCTAAATGGCAGGTTTGCATTACAAACTAAATATGCCCACATCTTCTAGTGCTGTTCTTTTGTTTGGAGTCTAAGACATTCTGTGCATTACCATGAAGATCAGGGTGAGAAGTACTAAAAACATAAGCAATGAAATTATGTACAAATCAGTTCCTGCTCTAAAACAGTGGGGGTAACTTGAAGCATGTTTCTTGGGCAGGGAATCAGGTAGGTATCTAAAAGTCTAAAGTTTAAATATTCACAGGAATCAATATACTTTCAGATGTTTGTGCTTGTAGTAAAAACACCGAATACGAGGATTATGAACAAAATAGAAAACAGTCCAAAAGTTTCTCTGGGAAAATGCTATTCCTGCCATCCCCAGTTACAATAACACTTTCTACTCTAAAGAGGCTATTCGCTCTCCTTTTGATAATATTGCCTGCCATACTCATCTCATCAAAATGTACATGTATTAAACATTCATTGTATATATTTATATAAAACAATCTAAAGGATTATTAATGGATATAATTTAGGTTCTTTTCCCCCATATATTCCCTTAATCTATAGATTACCAACCTTAATAAATAAAAGCATTAATGGACATCAATAAAATATTTATTTCGAGGATTAAACAAATAAATTCACGCGCTAGCAATAAAACCATCTGTCTCTTATGTAGTCCACTGTGTGATACAGTTTTATCTTTGTGTCCTTGTGGAAGAAGATGAAGCGGAGGGAAGAGGAGTCCTGCTTCTAGCAAACACGCGTGTTTGAATGGGATTTCTCTCCTCCCACCACTGAGTTGGCAAGCCCCACCCTGGAATGGATTAGGAACATGTGAATATTTTAAGGCTCGACACAATATTTAAAGATGCTATTCAGTCTCTGGTGAGTGGGGCCAACAATTATGTACAATGTGTGGTCACCGTACCGTATAATCTAAGAGGCCTCTCAAAACTCCAAAAAGTTACAGTGTACAGCAGACCAAGTATTGCTTTATCATTTGTAGCGGGATCCTTATTGGTGAAGGGGAAAAAACCATTTGCATTCATAAAAATCCTTGCAGAAGACATATATCAGCAGCAGATTCCTTGCAGGTCCTTTTTATTTTTTTATTTTTTTTTCCTAAGAAAGCACCTTTTAATTTTGATTTTTTCCTCTTTTTAAAAACCATTTCTCTAAGGATTAGCCAGGATCCCAATCTTTGTCTGTGGTGGTCAGGTAAATATCAAATATCCAAAGACTTCTAGACACTCCACATACTTAATTCACACTCCACAAGATTTATAACCTCCTAACATATATTTTTTATTTTAAATTATCATTATTTTTTGGTTCAACATTAAAATGTGGTTGAGTTTATAGATGATTGGTGCTAAACTTGCCTCTAAAACAAATAGCCACATTGGTTGTATCTAAGGGGAGTGACCCTAGAATATTACAGAATGCTCAGTTCCAGTGATTCATTTATAATCCACTGTCAAGTTTCTTTGTCACTTTCACCAACAGAGTAGAGTTCGCCCAGTCTCTTAAAACGGGGACCCCAGTCACTGAGGTAGTCAAAATTCTGGTCTGAGTCTGATGTGGTGGACTCCAAAGAGCTGAGGGAGCCAGCCACAGACCCTCGCCCTTCATAGCCATATATCTGAATGGAGTCATATGGCGGGGCCGTGGGGTCATTATCTGCCTCGTGAAGCCTGACATTTATAAATTCATCGACATCAACACCATTCGGAACTGGAGCAAGCCCTTGCCTTGGCATAAACTGCAAATCTGGTTTAATATCCTTACGGGGTAAAAATCCATTAATTCCATCTGGGTTTTGTAACGTTGCAATGTCAAAAGCCTCTGTGTCCTCCTCCCCTCCTCCTTCGTCATCGTAGCGAATGATGTTTTCTCGAACATCTTCATCATCTTTGATAATTAATGGCTCGTTTTTATGCCGCCGCAGAGTTACAAACAGCACCACAATGACTGTAGGAAAAATATTAAATAGCAGTTAGCCAAACGCGCATGTCATTTCACAAGAAATACACCATATATGTTAAGAGACAGGGGCATTTAAAAAAAATGTATGACCATCATACAGCTTTAATAATATTTACTAGGGAATTAAGCTAAACACCTTTCCAAAAGATGAGCACTGAATTTTGAGTAAATATGATTCCAGATTACTTCTGTTTGTTAAATGGTGATGGAGCTGGGTAAAATAATCAGATTGCATTTATTCATGGTAAAAGTTACATTTTACACTGTTGTGATAGCTAGAGTGAATAGCACAAAATAGAAAATAGCACAGATAGTATGACTAACTTGCTGTGTGACTTGGGCAACCCTTTAATATATTTTGGTTCCAAGTCTCCCTTATCCAAAGAAAAAGGAGCAAACTAGGTCATATCTAGTATATTTTGTGTTTTAACACTTCTTCAAGACACTCTCCAATCAAATAATGTTCTTTCACAGAAGAAGTGAATGCCAAAGTTGCATGTCTTGGAGGACGCTGGAATGCCTCAATCTGGGAAGGGATGCCTAAAGATGGGGAATAGGAAAGGAATACATACTTAGCTAGCTAGATCAGCCAGATCAAACGTGGGCTAGTGAAGCAAAATATGTCAGCACAGTGATGCTCAAATTCAAGGCATTGGGTGAGCAAGACAGATGTAACTGGGAAAACAGTAACTGACACCATCTTTACTTTAAGGTTTTTGATGTCTTAAGGGCAGGATAAGATATAACTCTTCTTTTTTGTATTTTTCTACTGTCTATTCTTGGTTTTATAATGGGACTTTTGAATGAAAAGGTTATAGATGCTTCCCTTAATGTGCAATCTTCATTTTAATTTGATGTTAATATCAAGAAAAATATCTGAGGAACCCAATATTATTTTGAAGAAAATGCAGCTTTTGTTGGCTTGTTTGTTTTCTTTTTATCTCACCAAACTTTGTGATCTGATGAATTTAACAGCTCAGCCTAGACATTGTTTAGGTAAAACATTATTGTGGGCATAGGAGGACACCCAGTTTCAGTAAACTAGTGTGTCTCAGATCTAGGGATCTTCTTATATAATAGGTGCTGTAGTGACCACATAAGGGCCCTTCCCCACTGCCACCACCATTATGTTTTGTCCATATTTTTACTGCTGATGGGATTGAAAAGGGCACAAAAGTCTTCCCCAGTTGGATATTTACTGTCACAACTCTTTTTCTCTTCACCTCTTCTTAGTGATCTCTAGACACGGAGAAGGAAAGGAAGTCCCTCTTCCTCAAAAGAATGCTGAAACCTGGCCAGGTAAGAGTTTGCTGTCCTTATTTATAGTCATTTATGAACCAGAAAAAAAAAATGGCGACCATTAGGCAATGAAGGAAATACATACCTAGCAGCAAAATGATGCATGCTAATATGGCAATTAAGGCGCCCATACTGAGTCCAATGGGAAGGACATAAGCTTCAACATTACAAGACTGGACAACACCATCATTGCTGCAGCCACAGACACGGATGGTTAGGGTGCTGGTGCTGCTCAGCGGAGGATTTCCACTATCACTGATTACGATTGGTAAAAGATAGACTTCTTGCTTCTGGCGGTTGAATCCATTATGCTTTGCCAAAATGCTGAGAGAATTATCTGGAAGAAGTGAAGGTTACAATCATTTGCATCATTTTGAAATGGCTGCCCAAACAACACTTGTTTTTCTAGTTCATAAATCTCCACTGGACCATTCAGGCTATCTCCCCACTCCCCTCTTCCCACTTTTTCAATTGGCATGGACCAAAACATCCACACCATAACAGGTTGAACAAATCGGGTCCCATGATGAACTCTTGACGTTTTGCCATCACCTTATAAATGCAAAATATTCCTTTTATAAAAATGAATCTTCAAATGTCCTTCCAGAAGACATGCATTATCCTAAGTCTCCATAAATACATAAGTAAGCTTAATTTTCTTTCATTTAGCCCGATAAGCAAAGTTGACTGGATAGAATGTTACCGTATTTGAAAACCATGTTTGAGAAGCTCTATAAGATAGACTGCAGGACAATGTGACATGAAAAACAGTGCACTTAGTTGACTTCTACAAATATCTAATAAAGAGTCAGTCCTGGCCTAGAGCCTTCATATTAAGATATAGCAAAAGCCCCATTTATTGCCCATTAGAGGAGATATGCCACATAATTATTAATAAAATTTTGTGGAAAAGACCTATAGTGGTTACACAATGAGAACAAAATTAGAAGTTGTAAGAGAAAGTGCTCCATTTTGCACATGTCATTTAATTATATGTAGTTATATACTGGTTATCTAAACCAATGCTTAAGGACATTTAAGCAAAACTTAATTCAAAGCAAAACTGGTCAGTAAGAAGTAATTGGTTCCATGTTAGCTCTACCATTCTCAAAGTTTCACCACCAAGATGAAATCTTTGTTGTCATTCATCCCCATCGAATGAACTATAGTTACATTGTATATGTTAATTATTAATCTATCTTCTCATTTTGATTAACAAAAGACATATATTTACTCAAAATGGGAACACTAATTTTCTCATACTGATATTATAGCCAAAAACAAACACAATTTTGGTTACTGTGGACAGTGTTATTTGGGCAAAATGATTATTTCAGTTGGGATTTTTTCAAATATTTATAAACCTCAGAACACTGAGCTACCTCATTATTGTATATTGAAGAAGTGATTCTAACCTATTGCTCTTCAATTTCTGGTCATCAGTGTCCCACTGGTTTCCAAAATACTCAAAGAGATGGACAGACATTCCATTCAGATGAATTCAAGTAAAAAATGTTAAATCTCCTGTACCATACAGTACTATATACTAAGATTTCCAAAAAATCGTAGCCATTCCCCAAAACAGATACATAGTTATATTTATTTTTGCTTTGTTTAGGATATAAACTGGCCTATAATGCCTTGCTAGTAAGTCAAGCAGAAAAAGCACTCTAAGTTAACAATTTTGTTTTAAATTTCTTCTGTTTGTGCCTCATTATATAGTAATTTGAAAAGCAAAAAGAGGTTTCTAATGGAGTTAAGCAGTGATATACCAAATGATCCATTAATCTTTATTTCTACCACCTAGAAGTAAGCTAAAAGCAGGGGAATATCATCTCAAAACCAAGAATATATAGTTGCGTTATATTTGCAGAAAGTGCATGACAAGTTTCAGTACAGTTAATTAGTGTAAGGAACATTTGTGGATGATTTTATGTACCATAGCTCAAAACAGAAAATGGGAATTGTTCTTCAAGATGCAATTAATAAAATTGCAATGAAGCTTTTGTCTTTTTTGGCTGACATTATTTATATGAGAAACTATCTTTGCACATTCTTTTTTAAACAGTCTATAATGATAATTTAGAAATTGCAGCAGGAATATTGCTTGTTGCAGAACAAAGTTATCTCCTTTAATACTTAGAAGAACATTGGTGGGTCTAACAGTAAATTCATGCTCACATTAATTTTAGTAATATTATAATTTGCATATATTTGTGTCCTTTATTACTTAGAAAAGCATTGGTCGATCTACCACTAAATTCATACTCATTTTTATTTTTATTAATTCTGGAATTTGTATGTGTTGTTCCTCTTCCTACATTTAGGAACCTGTTGACTGAGTAAAGGATGTCTAGGAGCCTTTGCTGTAAAATTTTACCTGCAAGCCCCAGGCAATATCAATTCCCTATTTGTCTAATCATCTTTTTTTAAACCACTTTTTAATTGGTGTTTGTATTTTTTATTGATTTATTTGAATTCTTTCACTATGTCAAATGAAATTATCTTTATTGTACACATCAAAAACTATAAAATATCAGCAGTTTTACACAGTTCAAATTGATGTTTTTGGAATAATTTTTTTAATCTTTTATGTTACAAACATTTGCTATGTGGTTGTGGTTAATTATTTAAAAATCTTTATGGTGCCTTTTTATTTCAAAAATTTTTAATTTTGAATCTACCTTTTGAGTACAAGGTATGTTATTCTAGAGACAGGTACACTGAAAACTCTGACTTCACTGTGATACAATTTATCCACATAACAAAAAACACTTGTATGCCCTAAATTTTTTAAAATAAAACTAAATAAACATGAAATTTTTAAAAAATATATTAATTTTTATATAGTCAATTTTATCACTATTTTGTATTAGTGTTTATAAGCCTTGTTTTTAAGATTCTTAATTATATAAAAATATTTTTATAAAGTTACCTTTCTCATTTATGTTTTTATATGAAATTGATTGTTTTCTCTACTAATAATTGAGTTATTCAAGTTAATTATGGAGTGAATTTGCCAGTGAAACTGGCAAAAATTATAACAAGAAAAACTATTTTTTAAAAAAAATTGAAAATTATTCTGGAGGCAAGCAGCAAATAAACAATTATTCAAGAAAATCTACTAGTGCCTGGGAAGAATGGTGAGATTCTGTGGTGTATGAACAAAGACCACTCCCACCTTTCCCTCCCCCATTTTAGCGAGATGGGAACTTTACTCAATAGATTTAGTCAAGAACACAGGGCTCCCTCTCCCCAAAGCAAGCAGCTGGAGGATTATTTTCTGGGGAGAGGTAAGGCATCAGAAATTCTCATTCTACTCCTGGTGACTTGTTGAAGTTAAGTTCCAGGTCAGTATGGCCAAAAGATAGGGGGATCTTTGTATTCCTCACAGTTCCTACTTATATGATAGAGGTTCTACATGGGCACTGCTCCTCTAAGAATGTAGATCCTCAGTTGCCTTGCTCCAGCCCATTCTACATTGGGAGAAACAAGCTAAAAGGACTTGAGACTATTGTCCCCGATACTTTATGCTCCATCTTAAGGTACAGGTGTCACTCAGAGGAACATGCCATGATCTCCATCCCAGCACAAGAGCCAATAGCTCATAGATTTTGCTGGGGGTGAGGGGGGCACAGGGAGTGGCAGAGGTGGGGCAGTGGAGCAGAGAACCTGGGAAAGAGAGAGCCTTTATTGCTCACCTGAGTCAGAACAAATCTGAATCACTAACCTAGGAAACTATTTTTTCAAAGGAGATCAAATTTGATTGGATTGATCTGTCGAGCAATTAGGTCATAGGACAGTGTAAAAGACAATACAAGAATAGGCCATGCATGGTGGCTCATGCCTGTAATCCTAGCACTCTGGGAGGCTGAGGTAGGTGGATTGTTTAAGCTCACGAGATCGAGACCAGCCTAAGCAAGAGCGAGACCCCGTCTCTACTAAAAAAATAGAAAGAAATTAATTAGCAACTATATACATATATAGTTGTCTAATTAATTATATATATTAATTATATATATTATATAGTTTTCTAATTAATTATATATATATAATTAGCCAGATATGGTGGCACATGCCTGTAGTCCCAGCTACTTGGGAGGCTGAGGCAGGAGGATTGCTTGAGGCCAGGAGTTTGAGGTTGCTCTGAGCTAGGCTGATGCCACGGTACTCTATCCCTGGCAAAATAGTGAGACTCTGTCTCAAAAAAAAAAAAAAAAAACCCAAATCAGGAATAATGTGACAATTAGAGGAGCTTAGCAGCTGGATGTGGAAAGAGAGTCAGTCAAAGATTGCCCCACCCAAACCGCTGTTATTCTAGAGTAACTGTGGGCATAGCCAGGGCTGAGATCCCCTGAGGTGGAATGGTAGAGCTTTAATACTGCAGTGGAGGGAAATAGACTTCATTAAAGTAATCCAGCCGGTCATTAAACAAATAAGCAAATGAAAGTAACAAGGCCTGAAGATGGTAGTGCCTAGTTTTGTTATAAAATATTATCTAAAATGTCAAGTTTCCAACAAAAGATTATGAACATGCAAAGAAACAGGAAAGCATGACACATAGGAGGGGGAAAAAAAAACTGGCAAAATGAAAATGCTCCAGAGAGTGACAATGAAACATAAACTTGAGTAGCTAAATAATAGACTTGAATTGGCAAAAGAAAGGATTAGTGAACTTGAAGACAGAATAATAGAGGATATCTAAGTTAAAGAACATAGAGAAAAACAATTAAAAAAAAACCTGTGTCTCAGAAAAATGTGGGACACCAGGAAGCATACCAACATATTTGCAATGAGTATACTAGAAGGAGAGGAGAGGGAGAAAGGAACAGAAAAATTTGGTTGCAAACTTCAAATTTTTTTTAAAAAAAACATTGGTCTATATATCCAGAAAGTTCAACAAATACCAAGGAGATAAACACAAAGAGATTCAAAAACAGACTCAAATACTGAAAGTCAAAGACAAAGAGAATACCTTGTTAACAAAAGAAAATCGACTCATCACTTGCAAGGGAACCCTGCTAATAAAACTAACAGCTGAATTTTCTTAGAAGCAATGAAATCCAGAAAGATGTGGAATAATATATTAAAAATGTTCAAAGACAAAAATTATCAACCAAGAATCATATTCAGCAAAGCTATCTTAAATATATATATATATATATATATATATATGAAAGAGAGATATTCTCAGATGAACAAAAAACAGAGAGAATTTGTCACTAGCAGACATTCCTAATGAGAAATACTAAAAGAAGTCTTCTCCAGTCTGAAAGTAAATGACCCTAGATGGCAATTCAACTCCACATTAAAAAAAAAAAGGAGCATAAAGATACT